ATTTCCTGCCTAAATGCACGCTCAGCTCAAAGGAAGAGGTTCATTGTGCTGATACAAAAGCTGTGCCCAGAAACACAGTGAGCTGAGAGTGTGAAGTGTTTGGATGTCATCCTGACTCTGGCCTGCTTTGTTTGCCGGTTAAATAACAACTTGGCCTGGTCACTGTCACAATTACACTCCAGCTGTGATTAATCCTGTGGGCAACACCGCATTGTCTCACATCTCAAATGAAATGAGAGTACGGTTTTGTGCTGCTGGTACCTGAGGAGCTTCTGGGGAACAGCTGAGGTGAAAACGCAGTGATCAGCTGCTAATGAAGACTTTCTGCTGCAGGTCAGTATTTGCCCAAAGTAATATTCAGCTGAGGCCCCGTTTGACTATCTATAAAGAGTCATTGCCAAAAGTTTACCTAAACTCATCCTGACCAGGATCATTTAAGGGTCTATTTTCTGATTTAAAGCTCATTGCATAGTTTAAAATGTATTTTTCTCATTCATGCAGACTCGGAAAAATACAGACATTCACCTAAATCCTTATGAGTGGTGCTGTGTAGAGATTAGGGCACAACTAAGGATTATTTTGCAAATCAATTGATTTGACAATAATTTTTTCGATTAATAGATTAATAATCAGATGGCAAAAGATTCCTTAAAGAAATTTTTTTAGAAATTAAACCTGTTAAAACTTTTCCCTTTGTCGAGTTCTTTCCTTTTATCTTAAATTTAAAATGTTTAGATATTATTTTACAATCTTGGTATAATTACTGCTCTAAGTGGGTCACTCTGTCAGCTTAAGGCATGTTTTAGAATCTCCGTACTCCAGTTAACTTTTAATCGATCACTAAATTAGATGAAAATTATTCGTTGTTATTCATTGTTTCACCATTTGTAGAGATCAATGTTTTTTCTTTGCATAAGTGAAAACAAAAGTTAGACCAGCTTGATTTGTTTGTTAACAATATTTCTTTGTTTAAATAGAGACTTCTGCAAGCTTTGTTATCATTGTGTCATTTTTATCATGTAAATTGCGGATGGAAAAGCAATACTGGCTCCAAGAATCAGCCCAAAAATATTGGCAGCACATACTGGGGATTGGTTAGACTGATGTCAAACTCATCAGTATCGGACATTGGCCTTAACAAATCACTGTCAGTCCATCTCTTATAAAGATGTCCGACAGAACTTATTAGACTGAATTAGAATGAAGCTAAAAAGCTACTGGTAAAAAAAAAAAATGACCATGTGAGGCAGATATCTAGCTGTTTTTCCACAATGATTTGGATGAAGTAGAACTTTGAGGAACTTGGCAGCATATTGCCCTTGGGATGCTTTGCCCCCGGTGCTTTATGCATTGCACAAAGCAGGTGAAATAATTATTTTTTTCTTTTCCAGCTTTTATTGTCATTGTCACAAGTGCAGAGCAATGAAATGAACTCTGTATTTAACTCATCTCCTTGGGGAGCATTGGGCTACCATTGTGCGGCACCCAGGGAGCAGTGTGGGGGTTAAGGGTGTTGCTCCAGGACCAAGAGTGGCAGTCTGTGGGAGTGGGGCTTAAACTCAGAACCTCTGGATTCAAAGCACAATGCCCTAACCACTAGGCCCACATTCCCCTAAATAATGCGAGGAATAAAAATAGTAACACTTTGGAATGATTATTGATTAATGATATATTGTAATCCTTGACAATGCCTATAAAATAACCATTCCACCTTGGAAAAATAGTACCCGACTTAACTGGTCAAAAGCAGCAACTTAATATCCCCATTAATGGCTACAATGACTGACCCATAATGGCCGACATTCAGCAAACAGACTCAACTGCTTGGTCTATTTTGACATCTGTAAATGATTTACATCAAATTCATGGTGATGATGAGAAATAATGACATAATTTATCAACCTGGTGCTTGGTGCTGAGAAATATTGATTATCTATAGGGAATAAAGACCGAATGCAAACCTTCTCTTTGGGTTGTACAGCAGACTGAGTCCTCATCCATTCATAGCACATTCATGCAGAGAATGTTGTGAGACAAACTGCCCCAAAAGATCCAAACACATCTAAATCATTTAACCTTAGGCTATAAAATCTATATGACCACAGTGAACGTGCAGCAGACTGATTGTAGATGATCAGAACCGTGCTTTAATAAAAAGGTGTAAATTACATCACTGAATGTTCCACTTCACTGCCATGCAGCAGCTGATACCTTTTTTTGTGCAGTTACATATTGAATGTGCATTGCCTATATGTCAACTTATTTGAATTTTCAATTTTCAGATAAATCAAACCTTGTATCCATTTCTTTGTTGTGTTTCTCCACATTACAGAAACTAACTTCTCTGTGTTTTCAGGTAAACAGGGGCAGACACTCCTCTGTATTATTGTTGGTTTGTCTGTTTGAGGACAAGACAGATTAGAATCCTGCAAACTGAGCACAACTCTGTGGTTTATCAATGTTAAGGCAGAATGAAAACTGGTAATACGCCTAAAGAAGCAGTCCCTGCTTTAGCAACAACAAAGATGACAGCAAGAAAGAAAGAACTCTGTAAACCAAGAGAAGGCTATTCTTAAAATAGCACAGTCATGCTCTGTTTGTATAACATTACTATAATGTTATAAGAGGATGATTATTATTTGGGTTGATATATAGTCTTAAGAGAAACATGGAGTTTTTAGGAAGTGAAATGCGTCCCAAATGAACTTGATCAATTGGAAACATTCCTGTCCAGTGTCTCTTCTGTTTGGTAGCTCTAAATCACTGTTTTAACTGGCTGTTGGACATTCCAGAATCTACCTAATGCACAATCATCTAATGATCCCCCTGCTCCTGTCCTCCAAACCTCGCCATGCCAGCCGCTCCCAAGCTAAACATGTTTATATGATCACTGATCTGCATTTACACCAGTTCATATTGCAATCAGACAGTTCTTTCTTGGCGACGAATTTAAAGCTGTTTGTAAAATGCATTTCAGAATTCATTATAAAAAAAAACAAAAATTAACATTCTGATCAGTAAGCCAGTCGTTGTTACTGGAATCAGTCCAGTACATCACTAGCAACAAACTGTTCAGCTGAAACATGCAGCCAATGGGATTTAATTGTGTAATTTATCTACATTCATGATATTTTAGTTGCCTTTTTAAACATAAGATACTCCAAATATGTTTGTCACACCAGAACTTTTTCTACTTAAAGTCATACTGTCTGCCAGTGACTACAGTCAGCCACTTTGATGTCTTTTGATTGTCTCGAGCCAGGATCTATTTATTTTCTGAAAAAGGTTCCTTTTTTCTCCTCTTTACTAAATGCATTGAGAATATAGGCTTTCGTGCATAAATAGTGATAGAAGAGTAAAATCCTTCATATTGAATTTAAACCTGCTATGCTAATCTAATAATCTGCAATATGTTTTTCTGAATCTCACAATCAATGTTTATTAAATCTAACTGTTGTAGTTGTGAAATCCGTACCATCAGTACCAGTCTGTGAAACCCAGATTGGTGCATGTAGATAAAGTTGTGATTTTATTAAGCTAATCTTTCTCTTTTGGAGGAAGACTGCAACCTCACTGGGTCCACAAACTGTCTGCTTGTGCAGAGTTGCTGCTCATAGTTGAGTTGTGAGCAGTTTTTAGAAACCTATCTCCAAATTAAAACAAATACAAAACAGAAAATATATCTTGGCCGTAATGCACATCTACACAATTAAAGGGAGTTTATAACCCAAGTTAGCAGGACTTAAAACTAAGCTGACATTTTTAATTGAGCTATTAAAAGTAAAGTTCTCTCAAGAACATCAACAGCATGATATCATCAGAATAGCCTGCAGTCTAAAACACTAAAGCAAACAACAAAAATCATTCCAGGAAGCATAACTGATCATTTTTGGTTCTGCGGCTCAGATGATGAGATGACCAGAAACTCTAAAAGTTCACTCCTCGGCAGAGCCGTGATAGGAAAGACGTCTTATCCAACTGACAGTGCAGTCCCTGGAGGTCGTCTGGAAACCTGAGCTCAGAAAGCCCAGAGTGGAGACAGGTCAGAGGTCACATGACAGCTAGTGCTGCTGTCATCACGGTTGTCAGGCAGGTCAGCGGTGAAACAGCACTGCACCTTTACCCTGATACAACTTTTAGCTCCATACCTGTCCAAACTGCCAACTGTGTCACAACAGCCTCAGAGAAGTAGGTCGCCTGCATCTTTCTTTGATCAGCATAAGATCAGATTGATTCTGAGACAGTAATACAATTAACTTTATCACTAAACTAAAAACCAACCACGGTGTGATAGGTTTGCTACAACAATCTGACCACCGTGTTCTTTCAGTCCCAAGAAGGGCTGTTTCATGTGGTGCAAAGTTCTGGTTAATTGATCCGTCACATTTGTTTATTCAAGCAAATAAGACTTTTCTTTGTTAAAATCTGTCTGTTAAATCCAGTTAGGAAGTAAAGTAAATTTTATCATTTTATGCTTCCTTAACTTAGAGTTTCTTTTTTACCAGTTCACTCAATTTGTAATAATTCAAACAAAACTTTGGAAACATTCAATGTTTAAATAAACCCAAAGCTTGGAAGCTGGAGATGCTCCAGTAGTTGAAGGAAACCGACACTTATTTTAAAGTAGAAACACAAAATTTGGTTAAATTGAGAGTGATTCACTGGTTCATTAAAATTATGTTTAAAGGGGATGTTTTTATGCATAGTTATGTATAAGCCATAAACTGCACTGGTTGGTGCAATTAGAAATTCTTGTATGATCAGTGATTACAATCTAGATTCATATTTACATTTAACCATGATCTTTACAGTCTGGTTCATATTTGACTTTTAGTGCATTGAGCTGCTGCTTCTTGGGTCAATATCCATACAGAGTGAAACAGCATAGAAGTTTAAAGCAGTCCAAACTACCAGTTGCATTAAGCTGTATGCAGCCTGACAGCTTCAAACTGGAAAACCTGGAGCATCAAAACAGCAAAGAGACAGAGAAACACTCTTACCTTCCAAGCAGCACGTCCTCCACAGGCCCGAATGGGTCATCACCTCCTCGTTCTTCTTGCTGGTCTCGTTCTCGCTCATGGATTTGGTCTTGCAGACCCCGCGGGAGTACAGCCAGTAGTCCGTGCCGACCGCGATGGTCATGAGGCTGAAGGCCGCGAAGGCGCCCACCGTGGTCAGCAGCATCTGGACTCCGCGGTCGAACAGACCCATGTTTCCGCATTCCATGAAAGGGGGACCCCCTTTCCTCTTGATGTACAGGAAGTAAATATTTGAAAAATTTCGGGACCAAACCAAACCGAAAAAAACGGGCTAGACTCGAGCGGAAGGAGAGGGAGGAAGGAGGAGGAGGATGCGGTAGGAACCTTATGGTTGCGTTTGAGTGAGGACCTCAACAACAGAGAAAATATTCTATTACTTGGAAGGTTTATGGGGGAGAGGAAGAGACGGGATGTATCTCCTCTTTGGTAGCGTTCACTTTTCCACTAAAACAAATACAGACGATGGCCTGTAGCTGCAGAGGTAGCTCAGGCTACAGCCGCTTTCCACGAGAAATGTGGATAAAAACAGTGAGCTATAAGGGATCAGTTAAAGCCAGGAGAGGTGGGAATCAAAAATAGAGAAACTATAAAGATGGTTTTCTCTCTACAGACCCAGAATAAAGAAAACAACCTGTTTATCAAAAGCTAGAGCTGAATTTACATGAGCTCAAATGAAGCAGAGAGAAGATGAAGGTAATGGCAGACTTACAGTACAACAGTTCAATTTTACTTTAGTCTAAAACGCTGCATTTACTGTCAGAATCCAGGGCTAGATTCAAAGCTCGTGTAAGGGGGGTATTAGTAGGCAATAATGAGTATTAATAATAATATTCTAGAGTTTTGTAAGTCAGTTAAGGGTCATAAACGAATGACGGAAGGCATTTCTCTTATTTTAAAAGAATAGATGAGTCGATTCAAGTCTCTTCCCTGGGTGTTTTGTAACAGGAAAATCTCACAAATCAGCACGATGGAATGAGGAAATCAAGGCTCAACCAATAAACTAATTCATTAGAAGGCCAGACAGACAAATGTCACATAAAATACGAGAAATAATAAGGATGGGAGGGGAAAAATTAACAGCTTAGATTTTCCTTTTTTCAAAAATTTTGATCTCCAGTTTCCATATGGAGCCTTATAGCTCTGGGCAGGTTTCCGCCGAAAATGTGGATCTGCGGTCAGAGGAGGCTCGGTGGTCGACGATCCGGAGAGAGCGGGGAGCATCCAGCAAGGCAAGCCGACCATCACTCGACATAGAGCCGGCAGATGAAGGAGGAGGACGAGGAATCGGTGTGGGCGCCGCCGCAGCCGGGGATGCTGATGGAGGAGGAGGAGGATGGTGCTGATGCCGCCGCTGATTTTGTTCGGGTATCCAAATTCACCGTGGCAGGATCACACCCAGGACAGTCCCGTTTGTGTAGTAGCCCTTGCGCCATGTATTGGGAAGAAAAAAAATGAGCTCGGATGAACGTTGCTAAGCCCCCCCTCCTCTGATCTTCTCCTCCTCCTCCTCTTCTTCTGCTCCGTTCTCTCCTTTGCGCTCACGGATGCGGGTTTGGTCGCTTTGCAGAAAGAGAGGATGAAAAAAAAATCTATATTACACAATCAGGAGAGAGAGACGCGCAGATCCACAGACTGTGCTGGTGTTGTCACGATGTGAGCGTGAGCGGCGTTGTGCATGCGTTCAGACGTTCACTTTTCTCTGCTTTTGCACAGATGCTGAGTGGTAAGCGATCAGTTTGCAGAAGCTGCTGTAAATTTTGTCGATTCGTTTTCTTGGACATCACATTTAAATCTTCGCTGCGGCTCTGAAGGTTCGCTTTTGTTCAGCCATGAACAAATCTCCCCTTTTCACTTCTGCTTTTGTGCATGCAGACCTGGATTCAGGCATGTATGGCTAATTATTAAAAGCCGATCCAATTGTTGCAGCGTGCCATCCCGTCCTCCCATCTGAAACACAACCAACTTTACTTATTTGTTGAGTCTCATCGAGGAATAAAATGGTTATGTCACAGCTAACATTTTTAAACATACAATCTTCAATGATGAGTGCTCAGGACAGAGCTAGAAGCTAAATTCACAGCGCAAATCTAATTTGTAATCATGTATTGAATAATAGATGTCACAATGAAACTGAAAGTTATTGTATGTAATGACAAATAATCTATTAATGGGTTGAAAAAACGGAGAAATTAGTGCGGCTGTGGTGCTGAAAAGACAGCTCCCTACAGCAAAGTTGGTGTTTGTCGCCCCCTGCCGCTTAAACAACTTAAATGCAACAAGTAAAAAGGGCTCGAATATCCTCGGTTTTTAAAAGGTCGTTACATATTACGTTAAACAAATATCCTAACAAATAAAGTTTAAAAAATATTTTAGAGATATTTTAAATAAATTCTCTCATTTATATTTAAACTAAAGCATGTTGGTATATTCTGTATAATTGGGTCTTGGCATTAAGTAGAACATAATGTTCTGTCTCATTTACTCTAGTAAATATTAAAAGTGTACTATAGTTGAAAATATATCCATCCATCCATTTTCTGACACGCTTTATCCCAAGTGGGGTTGCAAGGGGTACTGGTGCCTATCTCCAGCTGTCTACGGGCGAGACACCCTGGACAGGTCGCCAGTCCATCGCAAAGACAACAGGACAAACAACCCTTCAGACACACACACACTCACACCTAAGGGGAATTTAGAGAAGCCAATTAACCTAACAGTCATGTTTTTGGACATGAAAATATATTGATTATTAAAAGAAACTACCCAATACGTTTTTTAGTCACTTATTTTATTGTCTGAGGTCACATTGGTCTATAAACATGGCACTCCTCATAATCTAACTAGAACCACAAAATATTTCACAGATATAGTCCTGACCAGGACTTTTGGTCCTGTATTGGTATAGACTTCCTAAACAACAAAGCTAACACTGGGAACTTTGCACAAGGTACTGCATTAGTCATTTATGTGGACAGAAGAAAGGAATGAGTTAAAAAGCATCCAAATAATAAATGTTACTATGGAGGTTTTTGACATACAACTTTTAGCTTTTCTCATGTGATCTATGCACTGATAATTATTTATTTACTGGATTGATGATTTCCCATTGGTAGTAGGGGGTTGAAGTGAAGCCACTGGCTGCCATATTGGTACTCCCTTGGTACCAGTTACAATGTAAACAACATGTGCGTTACAGCATCGAACAATGATGATGTTTTAATTTTCAGGTAGGCTTGTCCCGATCCGATCCACGTATCGGATCGGGACGCCGATATTGGCAAAAAAATGTGTATCGGCAAAGCAAGTAAAATGCCGATCCAGACTGCCGATCCAGTTTTTAAAAAAAAATCGGGTCCGTATTTTCCAGTTTCGCCGATTGAAACGATCCATTCCACTATTTTGCGCCAGTGTTTCCCTGTTTTGCATTTTTATTAAAACTTACAGTAATACTTGCACCTTTAACTGTTTACGGTTTTACTGCTCACTGTGCAATTTCAGATTGCTATTCATAATTTTGTCCAGTTTGTGTTTATCTCTTAATAAACAGGTAAGTTTGTTGTTACCAAGCATTGTGTTTTATTCAATCTCACCTAATTTAGCTGGCTAGATGTTATCAAGAGTACTAAAACCCTTTTCAACATGAGTCTTACAACTAAGGCTAAATACTTTAACTTAAACTTAAATACATGCTCGGATAGGCTGGTATCGGCCAGTATCGGTATCGGATCGGAAGTCCAAAAACAATATCGGTATCGGATCGGAAGTGCAAAAACCTGGATCGGGACATCTCTATTTTCAGGGGGACATAAGACTTTTAAAATAAAGATAAATTCATCACTTTGACACACACTTGTTGTTTTATAGCATAAATAGATTGCTTTAACTTATATTTTGAAAAAGAGGCTAATCACATTTCATAGTAACTATGAAGTTTTTTAAGTCTTTAAGTCATGTAGTATAACATTATAGAAATCCATCACAATAAAATTAATGTCTTAAAGCTACAGTGTGTAATTTTCAGCGACATCTAACGTCCAGACTGCAGACATGCAACATGAACATCTCCCCCCCCACCGCTTCTCCCCCCCAACAGTACGGCGAGCGTTACGGGACAAAATGTCTTCCACGACGTCCGCATCACCTGCCTTCTCAAGTGATGAGGTTTGTTTACATAGATAATTTTACAGATAGTATTTCATTAGTCTGTGTAGGGTATAGATTTCAGTACCGTCTCAGTTCATCTCTCTCAAACTTGCCGTAGTTACTTTCGAGCGTAATGGGCGATCTCGCAATCGCTAGTTTGTTGGCTCTGCGCTGCCGTAGCGCAAAGATGTCTGCCTCCATGGCTGCGAGACCCGCTCCTATGTAATTATAAATAACGAATTCTAAGGCAACGCAAATATTAAGGTTAAGAGGCTGAGCTCATAGGTGATGATAAATAACATAGTTATGTATAATATATTACATTTCTGACTGTATATCCCTGTAATTATTACACACTGTAGCTTTAATGGAGCATATTAATACATATTTATACGTACATAAACACACACACACATATATTTGGGTCAAATATTTGAGTAGCTTTTTTCCGGTCAATATAACTTGCAATATATTTCAGCACATTACTTTTTCAAATGACAAATACAACAAACACTACAAAAACGACAGTGTCAATTGCTTAATAATGAATTACTACATTGACATTTCACAGTGAGTTCACATAGTGAGTCCAAGATAGCCAGACTAATGTTACGCTACATACTATACTATAGGTTATATCGGCGTATATGTGGATTTTCTCGGTTAGTACATCTGCTGACTGTGAAATTACCTGTGGAACGTCTTCCAACAGCCAGCAAACTGCTTGGTTTTGCAGCCAAATGATACACATGTAGGTATATTCACTGCTTGTGTCCGTGGGAGTGGGGAGTACCAGCAGGCAGTAGATGGTGGCTTCACTTTTTATGGCCAATCAGCAATCCAGTGAATAAATAGAAATCAGTGGATCTATGCAGAACTCCACTATTTCCTGAACTTAAAGCAGCCCTTTTATTCCCTGTCTTTTTCTACTGGATGAACTGATTAATCCAGGTGTGCCTGACCTCAGTAAGTATGGCCAGACACACCTGGGTTAATCAGTTCATCCAGTAATGAAACATAGGAAACAGAAGAGCTTAAGTTCACGGAGTAGCTGAGCTGCGCATAGAGTCCATTGTGTTCTTAAAACATATCCTTCTTTTGAAATATTCGCACTATATTCAAACCTGCGCCTCATAAGTCATAGTTGACCAAAGAAGCATAAACAAACATAAAATATCTTCCTTCTTTCTAAGCAGAAACCATACATCACTGCCTGATCACCAAGTTTGGGGCAAAAACCTGAATTCAGCTCAGATGATGGGGGTGAAAAGTGCCGTCCGGCAGCCGTGTCAAAACAGTTTTCTCTTTGCAAAAAATATACAAAACAAACAAACACGGTCATGTTTCCCCAAGGCTCCAGGGCGACATGTCAAACAAGAGAAGAGCTCCAGTCAGAGACGTTTGGACAGGTGGGTTTCTGCTCACTTTAACATTTATTAACACTGAGATGCTGAACTCAGCCATTGAAATATACGGCTTAAACATATACAATATAGAAAATAATGTATTTATAACAACTGATAATAACAAACAAATACACACCTCTTCAACTGAACCACAATAGAACTATTACACCTCTATTGGTTTTAGTTCTCAGCTGAATTCTTTCTGTGTAAATTTTCCATGTTCTCTGCATGCACACATGGGATGCTGAAAGGCATCAACTGTTTGAGTCCAGCCTTTGAATCCTGTCCGGAGGTTTCAAGAGCAAATTATTTGATTGAAAGTAGCTTCAGACACTTTGGAACTGGCAGTGGGTCTATACTACTATCGGCTACGTGAATGAAGCAAAGCAAACCACCATGCTGCTTCTGGCTGCTTCGTTTGTTTTGTAGTACTGGACTGGCTCTGCATTTAAAGATTTCTTTCCTTTTTTAACATCATGAAAAAATTCTTTTTCACATTTATATCTTGCATATTTCGTGAAACATTTTATGAATAATTCTTATATTTATCTATTTTACATGTGTGTTTCAGGGAGACATTGTTTAATGGTTACCAAACTTATTATACTCGTCCCTTTAACTGTTTTTTCTCAGCCCAATTTCATAGGATGTATGTTTTACTAAAGACGAAAACCGTTGGAAATATTTAATCATGGTCTCCTTTTTTTTTTTTTACATCACTAAATGTATAAGCTACTTTAATGTCATTTAGTTCCTGTACCTAATTCTGCTCTGTTTATTTTATCTGTATATCTTTAATAGTAAGCCAGGAGTCCAGTTTAACCTGAATGAACAAATTGCCTTTGAATCAAGCATGAATTGCTTTACTATATTTTTCCCAAGCATCAAGTATAAAAAATTAATTGACATAAGAAACAGATGTCAAAGAGTAAAGGCTCAACATGCCATCCCAGGAAGATGAAGTGCTTGAAAATATGATTACATCAAAGCTGTGGTGGACATAACAGAGGCTGAGAAAGCTACTTTTCTGTATGTCCAGCCGATGTTTTGCAGCATGTTTGCTTGTGAGGACACTGCCATGTCAGCAGCATTTCAACCCTGATCCCTAAGTG